GTGTTTTTCTCAGTGGGGCCGCTCCCGCCCTCGCAGCCAGCCTGGGGAGTGTGGCTTCCGTCTGCTAAGACAGTCTTCCATAACACGACGTACCCAGGGCAGCCAGGGAGGCCACGCCTCACTGGTTAGAAGCAAATCCAGGACCTGCCCACATTGACAAAGAGGGGCCAGACAAGGGAGGCTCCTCGGAGTCTGCTTTGGGGTGTCCACAGCCACTGGTGGGGGCCAGCACTATCAAGGGAGAGGGCTGGGTGCCCTGACGGGTGCCGGCTCTCTGCCCGATAGCTGAGCTGGTTTCCCAGAAGCTGGGCTTTTCCCTGATAAGACATGCTCTCACGGAGTCACGTGTGTTCTTTGATAACAGGACTCCGACCCGCCTACAGAATCACGACTCTGGTACGACCGGGCCTACAATGTGCCAGACACCTCACAGGTGCTTTACCCCTTATTAAAGCACCCAACCAGCCGGGTAGGCGTCATTGTCTCTATCAAGTCCAGCGTCGCAAGCTCAGAACACAGAGCGAGGTGCCCCAGGTCAGCTGACGGCGGTCAGCCAGGGCCGGCCGTGCCAAGGTAAACAGCCCAGCAGTTAGAAGGGCTAGTTACTGGCTCACGGCACAGGAGCACACGGGGTCAGAGCTGGCCTCGGGCACGATGGGCCAGACCCAGCAACAGCGACCTCTGCCTCTCCCTTCTGCCTGCCTGGGCCACACCTTCGCCCTTGGGCAGGCAGGCCCAAGTGGTGGCAAACATGGCCACCGGCAGGTCCAGAAGAAGTCTGGGGCAGGCTGGCCGGGACCACGGGTGCGCTTGCTTTGACGGGCCTCCTGGGTCTCCTGCTCCCTCGGGGGCTGGGCAGGTCAGCCCCATCGCTAAGCAGACACGAAGGGTTATGCGGGAGTAGGGGTTGGAGTGCTGCGCAGGTGAAGTCTGTGGATGGCCTGTTCAGGACCAGTGTACTACGGTGTGCGTCAGTCACCGTGCTGCCTCGGTGACAGGGAGGACAGGAGTCTCAGGTGTGGCCGAGATGCCTCCTAGGCTGACCCCACTGGGCTTGTGGCGGGCTGCTTGCCAGATGCCATGGGGCATGGCGAAGGTAGGGGCTTGGCCGAACAGCAGGGCCTGGGCTGGAGGGCAGCTTCTTCTCCATGCTGGGGCAAGTATCCCTTCTGGCCAGACCCAGGGGATACCACTTGGAGGGTCTGGGATGATTGTGCTTGGTACACTGGGGGACGGGGGGCTCCCCACCCCATCAGACATGGCCGAGCCTGTGGCTCTGGAGGGTGACCTGACTGCTCAGAGCCAGGGTCAGGTGGGCCGACTCCCTCACTCAGAGAGCAGAGAACCATGCCCAGGCAGGAGACGGCCCTCCACCTCCTCCCGCAGTCCTGGGGGCCCCGGCCTCCCCTCAGGCTCTCTGTCTGTCTGAGGGACACCCTCAGGGCCCTCTGTCTGTCTAAGGGACATCGTGTCTCTGAGCAGGTCACACATTCACACGATCTAGAATCCAGAACTCAGCCGTGGGGAGCATTTACTGAGAAAACTCCAGTCTCTCCTGGTGATTGGCTGAATGATGCCCCCAAAGGTGTCCACTTTCTGAGCCCCAGAACCTGTCACCATGTCACCTCAGCAGAAGGGACTTTGCCGTGATTGAATGACAGATCTTGAGAGATTCCCTGGACTGACCAGGGGGCCCACAAGGGTCCTTTGTTGTTGTTTCTGAGTTGGGGTGTGGCCACACCGTAACCCCTGCCCCTCCATTTCTCCATGTTGGGGCTTGGGGCACACACACGTCTGGTGTGTTTTTCAAACGGCTGGGGCTGGGACTCTAACCACTCGGTGGGCCCTGTGCACTCCGCCTCCCTTCGCCACCAGACGCGGCCAGCCCCACGGGGCTCTGACCAGCGGGAGGCAGGAACTGGCGAGAGGGGAGAGGCGCCACCCACTGGCCTCGAAGATGGAGGCAGCCATGACGAAGCACCACTGGCGCTGCGGCTTAGCCTGCACAAGCGTGCCTCTCGGAGTTCTGGAGGCTGGGAGTCCACAGTTAAGGTGCTAGCCGGTTCCGTCTCTGGCGAGGGCTGTCTCCCTGGCTTGCAGACGGCGGTCTTCTTGACGTGTCCTCCATGGCAGAGCCAGCACAGCGTGAGCTCTCTGTGGCCCTTCGTTTTTGTGACGGGGAGACGCGTGTGCGAGAGCGAGAGCGTGCGGCCCCGACTGGGCGTGGCCGTGCTGCACGCCTTTTTCTCCATTTCTCCACCCCGTCAGGATTTGGGGCCCGCATGCACCCACGCCAGCTCGTTCTTCAAACGGGACCAGGATTTAAGCCATGGTCAGCCACGTGGGGTCTGGTGCCCTACGCAGAGGTTTGAACTACTGCACTCTGGGGACAGCCCTGCTCCTCGCCGTTTATGCCTTAGAGTGTCTCAGACTGCTCATACCAGCCTTCGAAGCCCCCGTCCCCTGCCAGCATCTCCCGCTAGACGGGTACAGCTCCGTCCGTGTGCCAGGCCCTCTTACTGCATCTCGCGCTGTGTCACTACGAGGGCTCCAGCCTGATAGCACCTCGGGTACTGCAACCAGAGAGGGATTTAGCACAGGGAGTCTGGTCATTCTAAAACCGTTGGGAGAGGTGGGGCCAGCAGGTGGCCTGGTGGTTAAGGTCCTGGACTCCCACATGGCCGAGAGTGGTTCAAGTCCTGGACCTGGCACCTTGAAAATCACACCGGATGCATAAACGTGGTTGCCCGAAATCCTGACGGGAGAATGGGAGAGAAGGGATTGCAGCATGGCCATCCCCTCCGGGAGGTGATTTCTCACTCGCCCTCTCTGTTCATCTCTCTCCAGTGAGTGCATGTAGCATATGGCAAATAAAATAAAATAAAATAAAAGAGTAAATAAAAATCTTTGTGAGAGGCGGCAGGTGAATGCTTTCTGTGGCAAGGCCTACCCTCCTCAGCAATTCCCTCCCCTCCTGACTCCCGCACTCCCAAAGCAGCCCCTGAGACGGTGGGAAGTGCGTGCAGCCACTGCAGCCAGTGCTTCTACTGGGACCCAGTCGCATACCCACGGGCTGCAGAGACAGGTGCATGTCTCCCACCTCCAATCGCACACGAGCGCAGGGGTGGGCAGGAGGGAATTCCTGTCAAGGGGAACCTGGCAGCTGCTGTGGTCTGAGTGTGCCCCGGACTCGCGTGCAGAAACCTCACTTCCGGCACAGTAGGGTCAAGGGCAGGGCCTTGGGGAAGGGTCAGAACATGAGGGCTATTCTGTCGAGAGTGGGTTAGGAGGCTCCCACAGCAGTCAGTCCCCTTTTTTGCCACCCGTTCTGCCACGTGAGGACACGGTGTTCAATCCCTCCAGAGGATGCAGCAATAGGCCCACCTTGGCACCAGAGGGCAGCCCTCAGTAGACCCCGAGCTCGTGTGGACCTCGGCCCCGGACATCCCAGTCTCCAGAACTGTGAGAAACAAATCGCTATTGCTTGTAAATAACCCAGACCCGGGAATTTTGTTATAGTAGCAAAACGAGCCCAGACCCCAACCATCCACACAGAAGACTGATTTGTGAGAGTAACCAGCGAGGATACAGAGCGGGGCGCGCGGGCGTGTTCTTGTGGCATTATTACTCGTTAGACGCGGTCCCGCTCTGGTGGTCACGCCAGCTGCAGGCTCGTGACCTCCCACCTCCTACCGCCAAGGTAGCTGAGACGGCATGCGTGTGCTGCTCTGTCCAGCTTTAAGGATGGGCTGGGAATTGAACCCAGGCCTCCCACATGGCCTCAGCCTGCCAAGCGGAAGTCGGCACACACCACTGTGGCAGTCGGGCATCTCTGTGGTCTTTGTGCCGCAGCATTCAGAGAGGTGACGCTCCCAGCTCACTGAGTGCAGCTTCACCCCGAGCCTCGCCCTGAAGGAAACCCTGCTGTCTGACCAGTCTCTCTCCATCTGCGGGTGATGGTCACCCCTCTTCCGGTCAGAAGTCCCCCAGACTAAATGATAAAGGCACAATCCCTCACACACTCAGGGCTCCAGGTCAGGGCGCAGGGGACCCCTCCATCTGGACCTGAGGCCGGGTCCCCCTCTAAGAAGCACTGCCCAGCAGCCAACCATGGCAAGGCCAAAGGCCCCAGGCTGCTATTTGCAGACAGCCCCAGGGTGAACGCTCAGCCCAGAACCACCCTCTTACCACCCCATAAACACCCCAAACCTCCTCAGCCCTGCTCTTCTCCCTCCTGTCCATCCCTTGATTTGTCCTCACCAAACCAAAACTGGCCATGGCAGGTCTTCACGGCAGGGGACAATGCAACTGGCCACAGCTTTCCAGGGGGCCGGGCCTCAGGGGGCCCCAGGCCCCCCACACCTGTCCGGGGCAGGGAGTCGGGCATCATCGCCCTCCCTGGCTGCAGGGCTGCGTAATGGAGCTGCGGGTGAGCTGCAGCCCTTTCTCCCCAGGACCCCTGCCTGAGACCGTTGGCCTGGAATCCCCCTCCACAGGCCTCCAGGAGAGCAGGACCCTACGCCTGATGGGATCTGAGGAGCTGACGTGGGGTGGGCGTTTGGGTGCTCTGGTCTCTCCCAGTCTCTGGCCTCTTTTCCTCATCCCCAGGTGACAGAGCACACCTGCCTCTGGTTCCCACGGCGCGAAGGGGAGGATCCCCATGCAGGGAGGAGCAGCCCCTAAGTTCCTGCTCCAACTGCCCACATCTCCCCACCAGAGCCCCTTTCCAGCTGCCCCAGAGGGGAGAACAAGGGTGCGGACACAGGCCACCCAGTGACTGCTTCCTGCTGTAGGTCCCCAAGGAAGGGACGGAGCCCCAACTTAACTCCTGTGGGTGCAGCCCCTCCACCCGCTATGCAGCAGACTGGCCTTCCTGGCATGGCTGCGCTTACCCCTGCACCTTCCCCCAGGCCTGTCACCCCGTCTCTCTGTCTCCCTGTCTCCCACTCCACGTCCATCTCCTCCCCATCCTCCCTTCTTGCCTCTCCCTGTCGGCGGTGAGTTCAGGAGTAGGGACCTGGAAGCTGCCATGAAGTCCCTCTCTGGCGCTCGCTCGGCCCTGGGTGGGCCTCCCTTCGGCACCCTCACTCCCCGCCACCCCGTGGGGCAGATCAGCCCCACCCAGGGCCTAGAGCCATTCCCTGCTCTGGCTTCTTTCAGGGCCCCTTCTGAGTACTCATTTGCTGACTGCTCCAATCCCTAGCAAGGAGCTGGGGTGGAGGGCGTTGTGGAGGACAGAGAACGGTTCTGGTTAGGGGGCTGGTTCACCTTCCACATTCTAGGGTTCAGCGCCTCCTAGCAAGATCCATGACTTACGAGGGTGTCAACCGGCTGGGTCCTGCCGTGGCTGGGTTAATGACCCTCACTGCTCTTGGGTAGGGCCATCGGTGACCTGCCCCACAAAGAAGGCCCCAGCTCCATTAGGCAGGACCGGAGCCTGAGCCGGGGCGGGCGGCGGGGGCGGCCATT